TACATAAAAACCCCTGACAGACAAAACAATTTTAATTGATGCTTAAAGTTAGCAATGTAAAAAATCCAGTCTGAAATTTGAAATGTTAAAAAAAAAAAAAGAAGCTTTAGCTGAAGATTGTAATATAAAATGAGTCAATGAGAGAGAGATGGGCAATCAGCAGTCTTAAAGTTAGATGAATTTCTCAGTCTAATCTAAGGAGCCCTTTAGCTTCCTCTAAAACTCAACTATACTTGATTAATTCAGCCCCTTGGCAAAATGATCTATCCTTTTCCTACCAATCTACTGCATTAAAGAGGAGAGAGAGACAGAGAGAGAATCTTGTCTCTCTGGAAGAGAAAAAGCAGAACAGAATATTATGAAAAGAACAAAGAAAGAATGGATGACCATTCCTACTTTGAGTTTTTGTTCCTTTCACTTCTTCTATAAGCCATCATCACCAATAAGTATGTACCCCTTAAATGGTTATCCCTGACAAAAAACCTATTGTCTGCCCTTGCTTTAGAGTCATGTTAATTCATACCCATCTTGTCAACAGCTGTGCAGCACTCAATTGTTAGATAAGCAAGTTTATTTTTATTTATTTAAAACATTTATATAGCCGCTTATATTGAACTCTGGGCAGCTCCCAACAAAGTTGAAGGTGGTTGGGGACGGAGAGATACATTGACCCAGTTTTCCTAACAACAGAATCAAAATCTAGATTTTCAAAACAAAAGAGGACTACTATTCAGGGAAGCCCAACATATCTTCCAGGGAGATTGCAATTACGTTTTTTTTTTGCTCATGCTAGTATTGTTTTAGGGCACCAGAGCATCCTCAGAGGTCTGCAAACTTTAATATCAGAGTGGGTCTTCATGTCCCACTCTGGTATTAAAGAAAATGTCCCATCTTGCAGTGACTACAAAATATTACATGGGAAAGATATCATATGGTAAATGTTTTAAAACTAAGTTTTCTTATTGCAGAAAACCTAGCAGCCTACAACTCTTTAAATATATGAGGGAATTCACTTCACACCTCACACAGAGGCCATGAATCCTCATAACCCTGGGCTGTGGTACAAGAATCTTCTCTCTCTCCCTCTGTCTCTCTAATAAATAGACAATACAAAGATTATGATCATGCAAACATGAATTAAGATTTTTATGTAGATTGGTTTCCCAAATAAAAACTGCAGGGTGGCACTGCACTGGCAGTAAGGGACACTTTGGACATTTATTTATTTATCAGATTTCTAGACTGCTGCAATCAAACAGCTCTTTATATTACTTTTCACACAATAAAGGTACCTATGCTACAAATTCATAGGATGAGCTAATGATTTGTAATGATTTTATTCACTCTTATCCATTTAACTCTGATTTGGCAACTCATTGCAAATAATTAATATATTACCAGCTTATAAATGTCTTCATCTGCAACAATACCCCAAAATTAACCCCAAAGTTGGAAAAAACATATAGTTCTAAACATGATGCTCAGAAACTTATCTTGGTTATTTAGTGAGAAATTTGTTTTTACATAATGAGTTTATGAATCAGGATTTAATTCATTCATTTAGTCCAACAATGTGACATCTACCTCACATCTGACAAACTACCCAGGTCGATTGGACAGTGGCCTGTCAATGGTGGAACAATTCCTTACGTTCGTATCTAGTAAATGGATCTCAATGACAATAGTATCGTTTTATAGTATTCAGAAGAGCTGCAAACAGAAAATTTGGCAAAATTTAATACAGCAAAATGAATTCGTGTAATTACGGTGCATAATGCAGAGCCACCAGTCTTTCTGTTTATCCTTGGAGAAGTTATTCACTCTTATCCGTGTGACTCTGATTTGGCAATTCATTGCAAATAATTAATATATTACCAGCTTCTAAATATCTTCATCTGCAACAATATCCCAAAGTTAACCCCAAAGTTGGAAAGAACATGTATTCTATTAAACTACACGAGAGGTGTTCAGTTTCTGCCAGCAGATATGAAATTCTACAGGATGAGATACAACTGGGGAGGGAATATAAGCATATAGATGGATAGCTGTGCAAGGGAAAATAAAAGATGTAAACAAAGGCACTGAAATCCTCCTGTTTCTGCAATCAGTACTATTTCTGCATTGCATTTAAAAACCTCCTGTGATTTGTGAAGGTGAAATAATAGCATATTGGCAATTTTGCAATCACTTGTTTTTCCCAGTAGTTGTAACCATAGTTGTTTTGCAAATGAACTGGGAGAGGGGAGGATATAAATTCTAAAATATGCACATAGAAAGTGACAAGCTTCAGAAACAGGATGTTAACTCCTGTGGAGTGGAGTGGGTGGGTGGAGGAAGAATAATGGTTGACTTGAACCCAGGAACAATAAGGCAGAGGGCGGCATTATTATTCCTAATTATTGTATTATTCCTAATAATCAATAAATCTGCAGAATGAAAATCTGAGCCAAATAAAGCTTTGCTGCAGTTTCTAATAATCATACCAGAATAAAAAAACAAATGGACTCAGCTCTTATAAACAACCAACACTGTCAAATAAAAAAAGTAAAAAAAGTTTTTAAACTGATCCTGAAGTGGTACAGAACACTGCTGTGGAAATGCCCTTAGTATCAAATCAGGGACACAGCCAGCTTACTGCTTAGTCTAGTGATCACATAAAACAGACTCCTATTAATCAAAGCCAGAAACAGCCTATTTGCAATTACGTTATGAATCAAATTTCAACAGAACTTTTTAACATCCTACCAGAACTTTTTAACATTTTACCAAATCGCATCCAGTTTTTGTAGAACTTGCTTATTTCTGATATACAGGTAGTCCTCACTAAATGTGAGGTTCAGCAACCATTCGAAATTGTAACAGTGCTGAACGAAGGGATTTACAACTGGTCATCAAAGTACTGGCCGTTGTAGCGCCCCCATGGTCACACAAACAAAATTCGGGCCCACTTGAGCCCAACCACATTTATGACCACCTTTTGGCCACCCACTTACCCGCTATCATCAGCTGCCCCCACTACCCAGCCCTGCCAGCCACTGCTGCGCCCTCTGCATCATGTGCCAGTACTGTATCAGCTACAGCTTCCTTCAGCTGCCTTCTTTTACACTACTGGCTACCGGGGCCCCTCTCACAACCCAGCCAGGGCCTCTGTTCGCTCCCCGGCCAAGGCCTCCATTTGCATGCCAGCGAGGGCTTTCTTTCACAAAAGAAGGAGCCAGCTAGAAGGGGGCTTCTTTCAAACTGGTGCAGCTGGGGCCTTCTTTCACGCACCTGCCTCAGAAAAGGGGTGCATCCCTGGACAGGATGTCAGAGAGTATATTATGATGTAATCAACATTTACTTATTATCTTTCTTTTTTATCCCATTTATCCCAAGTGCTGCAAGAGGACAGCAATATT